ACCCAAATAGATATATTTGGGGAGAGAAGTTCACACAGGGGTAGAGGACTTGGAAAATGATTTCCTTAAAACTATATACACATTGTACCCTCTCGGATATTTTGAAAATAAACTCTCGAGGTTAGCAACTGGTTAATTTATTACTAGCTGGGTGAGTAGTTGATTTGACAGTAACATGATACCATGTAGACATATCTCTGTAGGTGTTCAGAGGGAGGAGAAGAAGGGATAAGAATAGACACGATGTCAGAATTATCTGCATATTCTCTGGTAACTTCCCTGAGCAGCTAGAAGGCTCTTACTGTACATATAGAGTGATGGTCCATGGCAACCCACCTAAGTGACCTAGTACAGTGCCTAGTCCATGGGAGTTTGTGGAGGTCTATGGACTGCTGAGGATAAAGGTGAGGATACAAACAACAAGGACTTCCTATGTCCCCTTCTCTATCTCAAACATATCTTCTGTTTTCTCTAGTGAGTGTTTATTATTTACTTCAATGAGCACTAGTTAGAGATAGGTAATATAAAAGTAGAAGCATATGTACAGAGAGTCAAAGAGAAAGGGAGAGTGAAGAAGACTTACACAGAAGGAGGAAGGGATGGATGTTATAAAAAACATTCTGAGGAGGCTGGAGAGATGGCTCAGTGGATAAGAGTACTGGCTGTTCTTCCAGAGGACCTGGGTTCAATTTCCAGCACCAACATAGCAGTTCATACCCATCTGTTTAACTTCAGTTCCAGGGAATCCAATGTCCCCTCTTCTGACCTTCACAGGCACCAAGGACTCAGGTGGTACATAGATATACACACAGAAAAAAAAAAAAACCACCCATACACATAAAGTAAAAATACATAGTTAAAAAATCTGAACTTAAGTGTCCTTGTATATAATATATATTCAAATATTTTATTTTATTTATTCTTGGGACAGGGTCTTCTGTAGCTGGTCTCATACTCCTTATGTGACTGGGGGTGACCTTGAACTTCTAATCCTCCTGCTTTCACCACCTGAGTCCCAGGGTTACAGGCATACACTAATACACCCAGTTTTAAACAGTCTTGGGGATCAAATCCAAAACTTTGAGCACTCTAAGCAAGCCAATGACTTATATCCCTAGCACCTCAGACATTTTTGCTGAATAAAAGTGAAGAGGGTGAAAAGTGTATCAGGCTTTTGACCTGAAATGTATGTCTTTAATCTGCCTAAATAATTTGCAATTACATATCATTGTCTTCCAATTCACACTGAACTGTGGCATGATGTAGGTTATCTAGGGTGAGACCTTGTCTTTCCACTGGTTATGGGAAGTGACACGGGTACCTTGAGTACTCCTAGTATAATGAAGAATCTTCATTTGTAATCAAAGAGTAAGAACAGTGGTGACTCCATGACATAATCTGGAATCAGGGCATATAAGAACAATCCCACTACCGGCATATTATAATACTATTACGAGATATTGCAGGGATATGTCTCCCTCTAGGAAAAACCCAATAACTTCCCCAAATCTAGAAAACAGATCACAAAGGGTTGATTCTGTGTAAAGATTTTTTTTGACAAGATAACTTTCTTTTCTTTCTTTCTCTGCTTAAGACTCTCCTTAAATAGCCAGCTCTCTTTTTGGAGTATTCAAAAATGGGTTTGCTTTACAACATGCTGATGAGACTCAACTTTTCAAGAATAAAGAGAGTGTGCACAAATGGACCACTGCCTGTCAGGCATCCATAGTGAGTCTTAGCTGTCACAGTGAAGCAAACAAAGGCATACCACTCTCCAAATCCACTGCCATCAGAATCACTGGAAGGTGGCTTTAACAGGAACCAGGTCCCCTCCTTCAGGGAAGGAAGGCTTACGAAAGCATCTAGGTCATTGCCATCATTGACTGTGTGAATTTGGCGGTCAAAGGGCATCAATCTGTGGTCTGAAGCAGCTGTGCATTATTTAGCATGTACTGAACAATTAGCTTAAATAGTTTTAAACACTCTTTCTTATTGACAGTTATGACGATAAAGCTGATGCTCCCCCTCTCTCTGTAGTGCTGTGGATATAACCCAGTGTTCTATCCACAAGTGCCTTAACACTGCTGCTCCCCAGGCCTCAGATGATTCGTCCTCAATATATGAAAATCGATGTGGGGTGGAGGGAAGATATAATGTATCATTCATTTATGGAATGAACAGAAAGAGGAAAATGAAAATTTGGAGTAGTGCTAGATGAGAACATAGGGTCAGAAGGAGAAACTATTTTATCTTTTTGTATCAGACTCCGCTTCACAATTATAGCTGTTCCTAGCAGGTAAGTGGCATCTAGTATTGCCATTAGCCTCCCCTCCCAATGCATGGCAGGGAGAGGTAGGAACACACTTCACAGTCTAACTCAGGGAGTAAATATTGCACTTTGAGAGACTCAAAGACAAGAGGTAAACAAGATAGGAGGGATGAAAGAAACACTTTTAATAAGTTATCTAACTGCCCCTAAAGAGCATACAGTCTTTAGTTAGTGTTTCAAGATAGCTTTTCCAATTACGTGCGTTAAAAAGAAATAAGCGCACTCTATTTTGAAGATGGCTACTGTAATGTAATACAGTAGTCCTGTTCTAAAACCTAGTCATTTGCTGGTCTCTAACAAGATTTTTGCAGGCTGCTGAGAGCCTTTCCAGTAGATGTAAGCATTTAACTTAAAGAGCCAATGCATCAAGCACTTTGACAAAAATTAGAAGCAATGAAGGAGCACTTTCCAGGTACCACATACAATGCTGAGAATTTTTACAGGTCATCGGTTTTCTACACTCCTCTTTGTAATTTCCCCTTCCTGCCTTGCAAGCCCGTGTATGCTTTATGTGTTCACAAGGTGAGATCCTCAAAAGAGAAGGGGTGTTCAATACACTGGATGGGGCCTGGGCCTGGAGATGAGCTTGTCAGGGAAGATATCAAGAAGCAGATAGATGGAGTGCCATACTTTGGTGACTGGGGGAGACAATGGAGTCTTTGGTGCATATTTAGGTTCCTGTTTCTGATTCTGCCACAACACAGTTGTGTTGACAAATGTCCTTGCCATCTCCCCAGTACAAGCAGTTTATGCTTAGAACCAGAGGCAGCAAAAATAGGATTTGGGGGTAGCAAGAACTCTGATCAGTCAACAGGAAGAAAGTGTGCCCCAAGGGAAGAAGGTTCTCCTGGAGCAAACTGTGTACCTGGTGAAGGATGAGGCGCAGAGCAATGGAAGAACTAAAGCCAGCATCTTCCTAGGCAAAGGAGTGCTAGTGCTCAAGGTGGGTTGCTGGCAGGGTGGAGGTGGAGGTGGGGGTGGGGTTG